TAGCTGGCTGGGGAATTCTGGGAGTTGAAGTCCATAGGACTTAAAGTCACCAAGGTTGAGAAACACTGCCCTACACCATTTCAGACAAATGGCTATCCAACATTTTCTTTAAAACTTCTAATGTGGGAGCATTCACAATTTCTGGAGGCAAGTCGTTCCGCTGATTAATTGTTCTGCCTGTCAGGAACTTTCTCCTTAGTTCTAGGTTGCTTCTCTCCTTGGTTAGTTTCCATCCATGGCTTCTTGTGCTGGGCTGACAAGGAGAGGGATTGGAGCAGTGGGGGAAAGCATTTTAGTTCTAGCACCCTGCAAATTCAGGTGTGCTACTTCCATATGAGCAGCCTAACATATTCATTAGTGTTTTTTTTTTAACTTGGCAAATTTAAGATGTGCGGCTTTCCATTCTCAGAATTCCGCAGCCAGCAAGGACATGGTGCATTTTTTTTTTTGCAAAATTTTGCAAATTTTAGAACCATTCCTGAAAGAGGAGGGTTCCCCCCCTCCCCAGTACATGGCAAGGAAAAGGGCATTATTTCAGTAGAGAATAACAGAGTTGGAAGGGACCTTGTAGGTCATCTAGTCCAACCCCCCTGCAACACACATCCAAACAGGAGACCCTACATCATTTGGTTGCAAAAGTATTGAACTAAAGGCAGGGATCATCCTAGGGAGTTGTGTCACTAATCCCCTCTCTTGGTTCTTTTCTTTCCCAGGTGAAGCGTTACTATCCCACGCAGGGGCGCAGCTCTGCCAAGACCCTTCTCTTCATCCTCCTCGCCATTGTCTTCTTCCAAATTTATAATGCAGAAGATGACCTCCTCCTGGCTGGAGCCACCCTGGAAGACAACACATCTGGCTGCTCTCTGCAGGGCTGGGAGTCTCAGGTGCCACCTGTCCCTTCCGAACTGCCCATAATCACAGAGCAACCTGTTGTATCAACAACATTCTCCTTGGAAATCACCACCGTGGCCAATGTTTCTGAGTGGCCCTGGGGAGAGGAGAGATCTTCCGAATCCACTGTTGACATTACCCATTTTTTGCAGCAGAATCCAGCTGCTTTCTGAAGATCGAACGCCCTCCCCGCTTTCACTGGAGGGAGAAACGAAACCAGAGCCTAAACTGGGAAGTCAGAGGGAGAGACTGCCATGCTGATGGTGGGCCTTTAGAAAAAGTATCTTTGTAAAGCAGAAGTAAAGATGCAGAAAAAGAGACAAGGAGGTTTTGGAGCTCAGCCTGTGCGGTCACCCGCCCGGAGGATGCCAAGCAAGGCTGACGTTACAAAAACTTGAACTGGACTGACATGGCATTATGCAACAGGAAAGGGGACAATTCCTTGTTGCTGCAATTTTATGGAGGGGGAAAGGGGATATTTAATATTTATTAATAATAATAATAATAATAATAATAATATCTATGTAATTTAAACTGACTTTTATTTATGTGTGAAACTGGGAGGTAGAGTGGGGAATTGCTGCTCTTGTATGGCACTATGCATTTGGAAAGAATTCTTATGTTTTATGTTTCTCTAGCAAGGTAGAATTAATACTAAGGTTTTTTTGTGGGTCATAAATCTCTGATAGGAAGAGGGCTAGACTTTGGAAATCAAGAATCTTTTTATGATTTGTACTTTGGCGAAGGAGCAAGGTTTCAGTGAGGACTGAATTATGATCTGAATTTTGCAAATAGTGTTGTGATACTTCAATAATGGGGGGAAAGTTGTGTGACAGGAAAAAAATAAAAAAACTGACAAGTAAAAAAAATGTTATTGAAGCTGATGGACAAGACTTTTCAGCTTCGTGAGAACTGGCACAATAAAAGTTAAAGATGCTCCTTTTTATTTATTGTAAAAACAACTGATTTTTTTTATTCCTGTTTTGTATGTTAGACAGAACATTTTTTGTTAGTGTTTGCTAGCTGTGTAACAATGAGTTGTTTGTAAGGGTTGATGCAGCCATATTAGCATTTCCAAAACTTTAGTAACTCACTTTTTGTGAATTGCACTTTATATGTTAACACTATTCCAGATGAACTGGCTCAACTCTGTATGTTCTATGAACAATCAATTAAAATAGTGATGTTTTAATCTTTGCCTGGCTGGGATTTTTGAAAGCTGTGTCTTGGATTGGTCATAAATTTTTAAGAACATTTTTTACGAATGTGTTCTGACCTAGGTTTCCCAAGAGCATGAAGCAAACTCCTGGTCCCAACAAAAAAATCTTTTAGTAATTTACTGTCAATTCTGCTCATTCACATACAGTAAAGTCTTTCAAGGGAGGGTTTACAGTCACAGACCTTATCTGGCTTGGAGAGAGAGTCACGAACCAAGCAAACTGTCTCCTGCAAACTCCACTCCCCTTTCGCTCATCTTTAATTTCGTCTGGGAGGGGCCATTCATTGTCCACCTGTGGCCTTACTCCCAAGTTGACCCACTTTTTAGCTGTTCCCTTCTTCTGGCATGCACACACTGGGAACAAGCTCCAGCTGTTCTTCACTGATTTCTGACTCTGAAGGCAGCTGATAACTGGCTTATGGCTCTGACCCCTCTCTGCCTCTGACACAGAGCCCTCAGCACAGCCTTCCCCAGACTCCAGGACTGGCCCATGTTCCTCCCCAACCTCCTNCCCACTAGTGGGCGGTAGGGACCAGGTTGACTACCACTGGTTTAGTGACTATTCGACATTACAACAGCACTGGGAAATGTGGCTTATCACCTTTTTTTTCACACGTGCGACGGTTGCGGCATTCCCGTAGAACACGCAATGAAAATTTGGAGCTTGGGCACAGAAGGTTTTGCACATGTGCAGAAGCACCGCACCTGTGTGCTTCCGGTTCTGAACCAGTAGCAAAGATGATAGCATTTCATGCCTCATGCCCTTCCTCTTTCTCCTCTCATTAAGTCAGGAGGTCTTCTTGTGGTCTCCCATCCAAATGCTAACTGAATCCAATTCTGCTTAGCTTTTCAAGATTAACCAAAGCCAACTCTATTTTAATTAAAGTGGGAATAACTGAAATATTATGTATCCCCTATACTTTCTCTTCCTTCTCACTGTTATCACCCTGATGTCATTTTCTTCGGTGGAAGTCACTTTGGCTGCAAATCATCTTTTGAAATTCTCCCTCTAAATTCAAGGAAAGAGATACAGGGTGTCAATTTTTTCCCCCTAGAGTTCCTCAGGGCAAACGAGAAATCCTTCTCCCCACACCTCAAACTGGTCTGCTCTTTTTCTCAGGCTACAAAAACGTCACTAGAAGATATTCGTTCAAATAGTTCCTTGTAAAGGATAGTGAAAATGACCTTAGAAAGAAAGAACCAATAAGAGAAGTGAAACAGCGATTAAGTCTTAGAAAAATGGAAAATATGAAGAAGAAATTCAGACTAAGCCCTTCTTGATTCTGTTGGCATAGCAGAATATGACTGACTTTCAAGATCCTGTTATTATGCCGTATTACTGTCAGAGTTTGTTGCAGAAAATTCAAACCCACAAAGCGCGCACAGATAACTAATTCAGCAGGATTCAATAACTTCTTTATATACACAATAATACATGAATAAATGTACAATACCAATAGTGGATTCTCCAACATGGTAGTAGTTACAGGCAAAACACAGGCAGAGGAGATATTGGTTTCCAATTTCAATTCAGAGAGCAGACTAGATTAGTTGTCTTGCACAGACTCAGCGCTACATAGGTAAGCCACGCCCAGGCTCCAAGCCGCCTGGCATGGCTCTCAGTCACCAAATAGTTCCCATTGGCTGACCCAGTTGCCTTGCCTATACATTGGCTGACCTTGTTACCATGTCTCTGCCAATTGAAATATCCCTGGACAAATGAATAGAATAGAAGAATAAAATATTCTTTATTGGCCAAGTGCAATTGGACACACAAGGAATTTGTCTCTGGTGCATAAGCTCTCCGACTCAGCTTATAACAGTTGGCTTAGTGACCATTCAAAGTTACAATGGCACTAAAAATAGTGACTTGTGACCATTTCCCACACTTATGACCGTTGCTCATGTGATTTACATTTGGATGCTTGACAACTGACTGACATTTATGATGGTTGCAGTGTCCCGGGGACCACGTGATTCCCCTTTTGTGACCTTCTGACAAGCAAAGTCAATGGGGAAACCAGATCCCCTTAACAACCGTCTTCCTCAGCTGCAGTGATTCACTTAACAAATGTGGTAAGAAAAGTCATAGAATGGGGCAAAACTCACTGAAGACATTTCTCAGTTAGCAACATAAATTTTGCCTCAATTGTGGACATAAGTTGAGGATTACCTGTATGTACAAACAACAAGAAGGAAATAGGAAAGATGGGAAAGATAATAGTAATACATCCCTACTATATGGGTAAATATCCTTAGGTGTAAGACAGTGCTGTGGGAATTAGATGCTTAGCAGAGTGATGGCATGGGTGAAAAAACTGTCTTTGTGTCTAGTTGTTTTGGTCTGCAATGCCCTAGAGTGGTGTCCTGAGAGCAAGATATACACCCACAAATAAACCTTGACCCCTTTGCAATCAAATAAATGGATGCAAAAGTGCATTTAACTTTGGCAGAAACTTCAAGAACAAATTCTCTTTCCCAAATCTGGAAGACAAAGGATGGAGGGAGAGGAAAGGGTTGAGGAGAGGAGTGAAACAGGGAATGACGCAAGAGAATATTCTGTTCCATAATAATAATATATGTTAAAAAAACAACAGGAGAGTATGTCCTCCCCATCTATTAACTAAAACGCATTTAGTAATAGAGCAGAGCAGCAGTGAGCGTGTGAGAGTATCCCTGAATCTGATATTCTTCAGAACGGGAACAAGGACATCAACGAGAGTGCCAGTTCATTAGCAAATGTTCTTTGTGCAGCCAAAATGGAGAGACGCTTCCAGGTTCTTTTAAGGCAAAGGAGAACAGGACATCTGCGGATGACAGTCAGGTAGCCCTCAACTTAAGACCGGGGGGGGGGGGCTTAGCAACCATTCAAAGTTACGACAGACTCCAAGGTTATCACTGAGCCAAATTGTTGCTGTTGTTGTTAGTTGTGAAGTCGTGTCCGACCCATTGCAACCCCATGGGCAATGTTCCTCCAGGCCTTCCTGTCCTCTACCATCCCCTGGAATCCATCTAAGCTCACGCCTACTGCTTCAGTGATTCCATCCAGCCACTTCATTCTCTGTTGTCCCTTTCTTCTTTTGCCCTCAATCTTTCCCAGCATTAGGCTCTTCTCCAGTGAGTTCTTCCTTCTCATTAGGTGGCTAAAGTATTTGAGTTTCATCTTCAGGATCTGGCCTTCTAAAGAGCAGTCAGGATGGATCTCCTCTAGGACTGACAGGATTGATCACCTTG